TTGTAGAATATTGATCTCAAACAGAAAGTAAATTTTGATGGCTAATGGGGTGTTTCGTCCTATCCTTTTCAGTACTTGGCTGGAAAAGGAGAGGAGACAGCTGAATGGCAGACCCTTTCTTTATGGGTAGTCTTCTAATTCTGTGGTAAAAAAACAGCATCTAAGACCTTTCTTTTTATTCTGAGTCTGAATCAAAATGTTCTCTACAGTTAACAACTGCAATTGCCATCCTCAGTCCAGGTGACGGAGCTTTGCAGGAGATATGGTCTCTGATCAAGCTCTAGAGGTAGAAATTACACAAAATGTTATTAAATACAGGTTGCAGTTCTGTAGGAGTCCCTCTGAGTATCTGGAGAGCAGGCATATGGAATGAGAAACTTAGCAGTGCTCATGCATACAAGGAAGCAATGCAGGCCTTAGAGCTTGAGTCTCTGTGTGAGGATGTGCCAGATTACAGCCTTATGCTGCGATCTATTATTATTGTATTCTCTGTTTGGCTTGCTCTGTGGAGCATATTACTGTAATAGTATGTGGTATTGAGGCTGTGTTAAGCCTTTATTATTAAACTCTTAGAACTCCAATGGGACTGATGGTTTGTGGTTTCTCAGGACCACTTCCAAAGCAGCACACAATTTTTTTTTTTTTTTTTTTTTTTCTCCTAGGGAAGTTGGTTTATTGCTAAAGTCTGGTTTTGTGGTGCTTTTTTTTTAAAAAAAAAAAAAAAAAAGTTGTTGGTTCAGCTTCTTTGGTTTCCAATGGGAGAATCTGTAAAAAGTGAAAAAATTGGTGGCTTCTCAGAGGGACTTACTGTAAAAGGCTAAACTGAAGTTCTGAAACTGCACTTCAGTAAACATACATGTTATATACAGGCCTTGCTTACATGAGGATTATATTTGCTGTTCTCATTCTGTTGCCACTGCTTGCTTTTGGTTTGTATATTGCATTTTCATCCATGATGAAATCAAAAACAAGGACAGTATTTGCATTGGAAGTTTGTGTATTTGCTGTTACCTGATTTCAGGAACTTGGCACAGCTGGGCTTTAAGAGCTATTTCCACACATCTCTTGAGTACAGTATCCATGTGTGATTAAGCATTTCTCCTATGGTGTCCATACCTCTTTCTTGGAATATGAAACTTAAGGTGTTTTTCAGCATGATCTTGTTTCCCTCTGTCTCCTACAGATCTGAAATTTGTTGGTCAGGATCATCACTCTTTTTATGAAGGCCTAAAGCTCCATTTATTTTTCTGTTCAGAGACTAAAAGATAGGGCAATCTGTAAGCAATCTGTATACCAGTTATCTCATATTCCAAAGTGCCTGGACCTAAGTTGCACAATATATGCGGCAAGACAAGTAATATAATTTGCCTGTGTTGGAGATAGGGAAGTGTGGTGTAGAGTTATCCAAGCCACAAGAAAGCTCACAATTAACATAATGAACAGAAGGGATATGCAGGACACCGAAGATGGGCAACAATGGAGTGGGAAGGGGTGTGTGTGCATGTGAAGAGCTGAGATGAGGGGTCAACAACAGTTGAAGTGCATCCATTGTGTAGAAATATAATCAGCCCTCATACCTGGGTGACTTACCTGGACTGCAAGGTAACTGTGGTGCAAGTGCAGGGACAAAAGCAGCCACCTCGGATCTGCAGAATTTTTTAACTTCAGGACAGAAGAATTTGTGTCCCTTCAAAGGCAAGTTCAGCTCTACATCAGGTGTGGGGCATTGTTGAAACAGTTTGAGTTCATTGCTGGAGCAGCATTGAGTCTCTCTCTGCACCGCTTGTCTTGGAGCTCCTGGTTTCTGAACCACACTGGATCCTTGTGTGTTTTTCTGTAGCAGTGAGCTCTCTGAGCAGAAGGGTCTTATATGACATTTCTAAAGGGCTATGATGGAGCATGTTCAGGTAGCCCTGCATAAGCACTGGTTTGGTTTTATTTTTGTTTGGGTGATTTTTTTCTTTTTATGATTTGTCAGATTCGTGTGTTGGGCCCAGTTTTTGATGCTCTATGGGGATGGTGGGTGGGAGGGGAAATTGACTCAGAGCATAGGTCCCAATGCAACTTTGACCCAAAGTTGAAACAAAGTGTTCCCAAGCAAGTCAGCAGTCTGGCTGGTGAGGTCTCAGCTGTTTTTATTCCTGGCACTCAGCGCCTGCTAAATAAGCGAGGGTTTCTGCTGTCTTTGCTGCTTGTTATAGATTGGATCAGATCCAGAACTGCATTTGGATTTTTGCTATATCTTGTTGGTTTTTTTTTCCTTTTCTTTTTTTGAAGTGCTGTAGCCACTGAAAAAAACAATTGTAGCTAACATGAAAACAGATGGAAAAGGCTGGCATTGTGGTGTGTGCAGCCTTAAGCTGTGCATATTGGCAAGTTATTTCATGTCAGATTTCATGATTTGAACATGAAGGCAGGAGAAAAGACATTTAAGCTACTTCATGGAAGTAGGTAGCTGAAAAGTTAGGGACTGGTCCTTCAGACATAAACACTTCTTGGCACTTAAAGCAAGGGTGCATTTAAAGGGGTATGTTTTACATTGTATCTTATTAAGTTTTGAAAGATGGAGTCTTTGAAGATTGCCTTTGAAAGATAGAGCGAACTCAGGGGCTTGGGGGAAGGCATGGGGCACAGACTGAGCAGCCCCTTTGTCTCTGGAAAAAATAGTCTAGAAAGCTGGGAGGTTTTTGAACTGAGTGGTGACTGGAAGAGATTTGAAGCTAGAAGCAAAGAAAGTTTTCTTCTTATGCATATGGATGCTGCGTGTATGGTTTGCCTCAAAGTAATGCTTATCTGCATCAATTTATGACATAAATAACCTGCAGCTCTGAGTTTGGCTCAATGCAAATAGTTGTCTGGGTGGAAGAAAGGTGACACATGGTTATCTTCTGAATCTTTTTCAAATTTATAACTTCTTCCCTTTTGAAGTGCTAACTTCAGAAATAACCACAGTATTTTAATAAAGACCTATAGTTTGTGAAATTACTTGTGGGGGCAGGAGGGGAATTGAGTGTAATGCAGGTTGTTCTCAGTTAATTTGATGCTGAAAACCTGAAACTAATAGTCACGTGGAGGACTGGATTGGAAAAGGGAACTCACATGTTTACTCTGCTTGTAATTTTATTTTTATTGTTTATAGGAGGAAGATAATGTTCTCAGTTAAGGGAGTGAAACATGATACTATTTTTGTGGATGCAATAATAGTATTAATTTGGTGTTCACAATGCTTTTCAGACACTTAGATAAGTCTTAATATTTCATGTGTAGTGTTTGAACACAAAATATATTGCAGGAAGATGAACAACATTTAAATTTGACATTAACTACAAAGCAATATTTTATGTTGATAAAAATCTCAACAGTTTTTTAAAAGTAGAACCCCACAGAGATAACTTTGGAATTAATTGATGGCAGATGAATTTAACACAAGTAAAATGAGTTAAACCCCTTGCTATTTAGAATAATATAAAGATGTCTGGATCTTATTCCCAAAAGAGGAAATAGAGTTGCTAAGTCCAGATGGATTTTTATTTTTATTGGAATAAATTTTGAGACTAATACTTTTTTTTTTAAATGCTACTACCATAGTGTTGGATCTACTTTTAAGAAGTGTTTTATATCCAGTTAAATGAACAGTTTTACTATATTTATTTATTTTAAAAATTAGCACTTTCTTACTGAATTTGTAAGAACTGGAAAATAAGCACAAGGATGATGTACAGTACAGAAAAGCCAAGGGCTTGGTCCCATGGCAAATTACTGTCAGTTGAAACATGGTAGCTGTCAATGTCTGCTGTGATAGCCTGCCCAAATGTAAGGTGGTGCAGCAAAAGCCTGACCTAGCTGAAGCTTCTCACCCCACAAAATTGTTAATCCTGTCAGAGTGGTTTGTTCCTTGCTGTGTTTTACCTATTGTCAAGCTCTCTTTAAGTTCTGGGTCCAGTTTTGGTCCACTGGTCGTTGAGCAAAATTTAGTAGACTTTCTGCTTCAGGTAGGATTGGCATCAAGATGGATGGCAAACAGTGAGGCTCACTACCAAAGTAAGTGTCAGTTTGTTTCAATTAAGAATAAAGCTGGGGAAAAAAAACCCTACCATTGTGCATGGTACAATATTGCAGCTCCATGTGGAACAGAATATCAAATTATTATTGATAAATTTTTCAAGCAGTTTGTAGACTTTGAAAGAGTGGTCTGTGAGGAAAATGAATAACTAATAAAGGGGTCTGGATCATGGGCTGAGCTAAGTGCAAGCAGGCAGTGAGGGTTTTTATGTGGCCAATTGTCAAGTTGCACATGTGAAAAATAGGAACTGTTAACCACAGTTGAATCAAAGTGTGCCACATCATATGAAACAGTGACTAAAAGTATTGGGCATTAGCTGGTGAGCAAGAGTTGGCACTGCAGTCAGGGATGAACTTATCTGTTGTGATCCTGAGGTTTCAGAATAAGAGGGTACCAAGTAGAGAGGTTCTATTTGCTTGATACTTGCCATGTTTGCTGCATATAGTGCAAAGGTGGAGGATATTGATAAATTGCGTTCAGCTAGGATGCCACTAGTGTGAGTAAATGTGGAAAATGTGGTGAGACCTGCAAGGAGCACAAAATACTTGGTTTAGCAAAGTGTCAGGGAAGAGCTGATTGTAACACCAAGACCTCTAAGTGGGGCCAAAATATTGATGATATATTTGATAAGAAAATCTTTCAAGTCTAACAGTCAAAAGCGTATTATGACTTAGTTTTGGGAAGGCTGACCATGCTTATTAGGTATAAAATGAAATTATTTTCAATAAATTGTACCTACTTTGTTGGGTAATGACATGGTGATTTGTTGCATACTCCGGCATCCTGCCTGTTGTTTTGTCTGGCTGGCAAAGAAGTTGTTCTGCTTCCTGGCAGAAGGGAGCGTAAGGAGTTACTTAAGAAAAACAACAAGAAAATGTTACAGCAAGAAATGGTGCCAAGAAAAAGGGGAAAATGAACTTGTACTCTTGTGTTACAGATTCAGTGGTTCTTTCCTTTGACTCCGTTGGACATACAATAGGCTCAGGTACAACATTGCCTTCTTCTCTATCTCCCACCTCATGACAAGGCTTCTACTTAACTGCACATGGTAGCCATGTTGGGAGGCAGGTCACCGAGTCAGACATTCGTGGGAATTGACTATCTAGGCAAAGTGGGTAAATAGGTCCTTTCTTGAGTGTAGTGGAAGTATTAAGGGTCCTAGTGTGACATGAAGGCTGACATGTGGGACCCCTTCCATTACCCAGCGAGGAAGATGACCTGGACATGCTACATGCATTAGTGATGCGGTTTGTGCTGCTTCTCTCAGGCAAAAGGCATTAGGATGATGTCACCCACCAGCTGAAGAAAAACCATTCCACGCTACTAGGAGAGTTTCTCAGCTAAACAAACAGTTGAGTTATTTGGGGAAAGACATCAGGAATGCTTCCAGGAAGGAGAAGGCGAAAGAGTCATGGCTAAACAAATAGGGCTGGAAATTTTTTTTTTTTTTTGGGTGGAGATTGACCAGTATTATTGAACCCCAGGGCAATTTCTGCCCAATCTAATTTCCTTTGGAAACCTGAACATGATCTTCAATTAAACTGAACCAGAAATCAAAAATTCTTTTGTGTTGGGAGCACTTCATGAAACCAGTAACTATCCATTTGGCTCAGTGTAATATGTGAACTGTAGCCAAGGCACACAGTAGTCAACATGATCCTTGATGAAACTCGGTTTATAGTGTATGTATAATGATACATGAAGTGCAAGGGAAAGGCTAAGAATTACTCTTATAACTTAAATGCCCTTAACACTTAAAAGATGGGGGTACTTACTGTCTTGCAGAAAACAAAAAATAATCCAAGTGAAGGTTTTGTATTTTATCTTGCTTACTAGCCTTTCCTCTTAGGTTGACAGGGGGAACATGCTGCCTTCCAACATAGCACCTGTCTTCTGCCTGCACAGTTGGAAAGAGAGCCTGCTGCCTGACACTAACAGCAAAGCTTGAACACAGATTTCTGATGTACTAACCCTCCAAGCAAGTGGTAGTAACTTGCTTTGTTTACAACACTCCAAATGCTTTCTGATCTCCCTGTATCTTCTTCAAAACTTGTATCTGGAAATGGATCTATTGTGGATGCATGGTCTGATGTGGGAGCATCTCTAGAGTGCTGAGTGCAGAGTGGATATGTTGTGCTTATGGGGGGAAGAGACCCTCTATTAACTCCCTTCTACTAATTGATATTGTTCATAACTCCAGTGTGTTGTTGCCTTCCTCCTGTGTTGGGTGATGGTTTCTTTATTCTGTAAAAGTAGGAGGGAAGTTGCATAGGTTTGAGATGCAAAACTTGTGAGTAAAATTCAGGGCAATATTTTGATTACAGCTGAGTATGTCTGAATTGGCATACCTACCCTACAATGGAGTTATGCTGAGGTGATGTTGGTACAGCTAAGACCAGAATTTGTCCCAAAATAAAACTTAAGTGTTACCTACTATGGAATTTTGTTTTGCCTTCTAACTGATATGAAAAGAGTTAACTCTGTGGATAGCTTCCAATGCAGGCTATTTATGGAGTTCATCATAAATGTTGCATTATGATACTACCAATAGGGTGGTAACCTTAGTTATGAAAAATAGTTCAACTGCTCCAGTGTTTTGGAGTTCTTTTAATATCAAGGGTGGGAGACAAGCTAGTGTAAGCCTGCTTTAAAAGCACTGGTCTTTGTTTTGTTTGTATATTGCAACTCAAGCTGGGTCGGTTAGGAGTAATACAGTAAAATTTGATCTTTTGTAAACCTTTCCACTGCAACAAGATTGAATTTCTTCATTGAAGAAAGATAAAGAAAACTCATATATTTGAGAAGGGAGGCTCAGAAACGCTCAATAGAGGCGTATGTTTATTGCTTTCATATTTAGCACTTTGCATTCACTGTGCTGCAAACTTTTAACTTGCTCTGAAATGATATATATAATAAGATGTCAAGATGTGTAATGTCTATCCAACTGAGGGACAGCTTTCCTTGTTGAACAGGAAGGAGAGAGAGAAAAACTGTGGCTATTGTGGTTCCGCTGTCCATCCCATCTCACCTTGCTGCAGACCCAGGAAAAGAGAGAGCCCAGAAAGAACTCAAAGAAACAATGGCAGCTCCAGGCCCAGCCATTCCTAGTAGGTGATGTTTCAGGTTGGGGTAAGAAGGGACTAAAGTTACATACTTGGAAACATAAGAATACGTATACCTTTTTCATTGCTAGTCAGAATTACACAGCTGTAAATAATATTCTCCCTGTTAAGATTTCATGCTGCTTAAAGCTAGTACTCATTGACACATTTGCATATTTTAACAGTTTCTTAGAATTGCTCTTTTGTAATTGTACCATGTGAAGGGCAATACCTTGTTGCAGCTTCTGTATTTTATTTGAACTGATTGTCCTTATCTTGGCTTTCCCCTTAACTGTTTGTCCCTCATGCAAATCTTGGTTTTCAGGGATGCTGTAAATCTGTCCTTATATGCCAGATTAGTGACACTTTCTAGATTATTCTGGATAAACTTTCTGAACTGAGTGTTCAGAAGATCATCTGGCTATGGAGCCTAAAAGTACTGCTTCATGGAAGATTACTAGCCTAGAGAACATGAGAATGAAATATGCTTGGAGCGAGACTGAACTGACTGAGCTTCTCACGCTGTGGTCTGGCCTTCAGAAGGCCAGATGTTTTTGTGATTCTATTCATGACTGCCCTTTCCTTTCAAAGATAGTTTAAGCAGCAAAAATAAATGTTTGATGTGATGTCTAGGCCAGTGTTTCAGCTGAAACCATTTCAGAAGTGGGAGAGTCATGCTCTGAACTTGGAAAACCTTAAGCAGGACACATGGTGTTTGAGAAGACCTGATTTCATTTGCTTCCCATAGACAGCAAGTACTCTCCCCCTCCCTTTTTTTTTTTTTTCCTTTCCCTCTGTAGTTGCTTTGTTTAACTTTGTTGCTAGCAAATCAGACAGTGAACCTTGAAAGTCAGATTTATACCCCTGCTATTTTTATTCAAGACTTTTTCCACCTCATGTGTCAGAGAGCAAGCAAGTTAAATTTTTCTTCTCTAGGACTCATTAGGATAGGAGTGCACTGAATGCGCAACTCTCCCATCTGCTAATGTGCTTGCTGGAAATACTGAGGTTCTAAATACCTCGTGGCTGTAGGCTTACTCTGTTGTTAGATGTGTTTGATTGCAGTACTGGCCACCAGTTGTGTAACAATTGTTCTCACTGTGGGCTTAGAATGCAATAGTTCCAACATCTCAAGCATCAAGGTGTTGCCTAGGTCTTGCTCAAATTGTTTGAATACATAAACTTCTTTGTTGTCGCTTTTTTATTTTCAATTTAATTCTTAACTCTTACCAAAAGTTTCACTTGACTTATGCAAAGAAAATGGAGCTTTTAAAATCTGGTTTAGAGTTACATATCTGTTATGGCTCATGTGCTTGTGAAAGACCACATGCAAGACCATGCTTCCAGATGCTGAATTCACAGTGATAGTGGGGCAGTCAGATAGTTTGCTGTTAGTAATTCCTTGTGCTAAAGTCCTTTACAATTTTTGAAGAAGCTGTGAGAACCGTGAAGGAAACTTTCTGTTTCCTTCAGCTGATGTAGATGCTCAGATAACCATTTTGTGAAGTATAAGAAACCTGTGTCTGTCCTCCTAAATACAACTCCAGGGTGAATTTGGTGACTGATTTCTTATGGTTTGGGTGGAGAGTTGTATGGATGGAGGCCAGGAATAGGAATACAACTGAAAATCATCAGATACCAAATTGGTAGGATAGTGACAGGTTCCTAGCATGAGAAAAGCACTGATGACTTGCAGAAGATTACTTGCTGTTTTTTTGCTTTCTTGGTGAAAATCTGGTAGTATAGGTGGCTACAATGATGAACTCTGTTCTTTCCTGGATTTCTAGGTTAGTGAGAATTAATTTAGGTATTATGTTAATTAACAGAACTTGTGAGGCTCTGGTAGATGTTCTTGGTTTGAGCAAACCAATTTTAATTTTAAATAGCATTTGGAGCTGATGTGGTTCTAGTGTGTTGGGAGTTTTGTGTCTTCCCGCCCCGATCTGATTTCTGTCTTAATGCGACATGGTAGTGACGGGAAAGGAGAGGTGAACTTATGCCTCATTTTTCTGTAAAGTAAAAAATAAATGAGAAAGATTAACACCCCACCCCACCCCCTGCTGGTTTTAGTGGCTTTATTCTGCAGAAATGCTTCTCCCTTTTCATTTTTGATGAATGAAGTTCTACTTCATTTTTTGTTTCTTTGAGCTGTAGACTGTGGGAGCTGCTTGAATCTTTGCCAATGACTGTCATGTATTGGTTGCATAGTCTTTACATGACTTTGCCAGCATGTTCAGTATCATAATCTGTCATCTTATTAATGCTCTGTTCCTCCAATTGAACATAATGCTGTGGATGAGTTGGGCTGCAGATGCCAAGAAGTGGCTTAAAGAATACCTCAAAGTAAGAATGGGATTTTTCTCTGTCATGTGGCATTTCTCTGCATTAAGTCAGTACCTCTTGTAAGTCACTAAAAGCCAGTATAGGTTACTGTTTTGTTAATATTGTTCTTGACTTTTATTAGGAAATATGATACAATTTATAAAATAAAGAGTATGTTGGAAGATTCAGTAGGGCAGCATTAACTCCATTAGCCAAGGGGATACGTGGTAGTAAATGAAACAACTGTTTATTTAGCAGAGGTTGCCGTCTGGCTTAAAACAGATGACTCTCTGGGAAAAGAAAAAGGGCATAGGCAGTTCATAGGAGGTAATTTTTCATCTTCTTATTGGAGTCTTTAATAAATTCAACTTAAAGCAGTCAGTTGTTTTTCTATCATTGGAAATTGCTATAATTTTATTAGGGAAAAAATTGTAAGGAGTTAGTCCATGTTAAGGTATCCAGAGTTTTCAAAGTATAATATCCTAGAATGACCTCGTATTTTTTGTTTTACTATACCTGTTTTGGAAGTAAGACGAATAGGCAAAAGACTTCCCTGATGGATTACTCCTACAGCACTATCAGCAAGTGATGGCTTATTTGTTCTTTCTGTGCCTGGGGGATGAATAATGTAGTCACAGTGTCTAATGAAGGAGATCCCTCTGGTGTATTGCTTTCCTCAGGCTGTAAAGCTGGGCCAGATGTCTTTGCTGGCCTCTATTGGGGGAAAAAAAAAGTAAAGAAAACAAAACAAAACAAAAACCCAACAACAAAAAAAAAATTAATCCAAACCTTGAAGGCTATAGAGCTGGAAATTACTTGCTTTTGCTGCTAAAGCCAAAACAGTAAGTAGTATCCTCATGATCTGATGTGTCACCAGGAAATGCAGGAGATTGTGACTGGAGACAGATTTCTCCCTTTCCCACTTCAGACGTGAGTGCGCATAGGTTTGTGTTCTAGTTGTGCTGATAGTGCTTAGTGTAGCTATATCCACCAAACATGTCTGTTTTCATCAGGTGCAGTATCTGCAGAATGAATATTGAGCTTGGTGCAGCAGGATCGATGTCTTCAGTTTGCACAGTCTCTGAAGGTTTTTAATAGATGTGAAATTCCAAGTTTTGCTGAAAGAGTAGTATTTTTAAGGAAATTATTTTGCTCTCCAGGAAAAAAAAAGAAGCCTAATTGAGGCTACATTAAAAGTTGTTGAAGAATCATTTTTTACACTTGTGGTGGAAATATCAAATGAGCAGACAGTTCTGCACAGATGTAGATTGGTGAGGCATGCCTTTAGTACTGGACTCCCTGGGCTAAGCAGTTATCTGTACAGCTGCTTCTGTGTATTTTCACAGAGCAGGGAAAGGTGCCAAGGGCTGGGCTTTGTCTTACCAGTATCTTTGTGGTTCTCCCTGATGTCATGTGGAGAAAAAGGCTGCTAAATTTGTATGCATTAAGAGTAAATGGGTGTGAGGAGAAAACTGGAACATCGATATGCAGGCAGTTTGTGCAGAACAGTGCTGTGTAGCCCAGGTGGCCTCAGCTATGCCCTTTCTGAACTTGGCTTTGCAATCTTTATTTTTCCTCGCAAGTTATTTGAATAGACTCGGAAAATAATGCTTTCATTGCTAAATTCTATCAGTGAAGATGTTGAAGTGAAAATCTGAGGAAAGGATGCAACATCAAGTCCTTGTTCATCCAGTACTTTGATTGTTGCTCAGTAATCCTGAGTGGTATTTGGTTAACCCTGGAAGAACACCTTTCTTTTGTCCTTCTCAGTTAATCCATTGCATATGACTTCCCTTCATTAATTCTTTCTTGTCTTTTGAGTTCTGGCAGAATTGCTTTACATCAGCTGAGCTTTTGTGATTGTCCATATGTGAGTCCAAGGTGAATGTGAGGTGTTTGACCTCTTTCATTGGAGCGTAAGTCACTTCAGCTGGCCTGTGCCACAGATGTAGAACATGTATGTAGAGAGGGACGACGGCTTAGCTCAGCTGGAGCCTCAGTTCCACAGAGACCAAATGCAACTGGACAGGATGAAATGTGTTGGGGTGGTCTATGCTGCTCTTGACAGGACCTCTGTCTCTTGTGTATCATACTGATTTCTTTGACAGCACAAACATTTTGAATAAAGTAACTAAAACTGAACCTTCTGTCTTCCCTTATCTGCTTGCAATTACCAGTTAAACACATCAAGAACTAGAACCACATAGAGTTAAAATTTTCTCCTTCTGTGGGCAGAGTTATTTGTACTGTGCTTCTAAGTAGCTAGCTGCTGAAGGAATAGTATTCAAGTCATCAACAAAATCAGTTACAGGTAGTCTGAAGGATAATAAAACCAGTGAGCTAAGTTAATTCTGGTGTTGTTGATTTCAGATTAGTAGCATAAGGGGAAAATTCTGCCCATTTTGCTCATTTACCGCTATATTGGCTACAGATGTAAAATGCAATTTGAAAACGGATAGATACTGTACTGTATGTTTTATGGCTTTTTGGGTGATCTGTATGGAGTTAACAGACATTGGAGGATGCATTACTCGCCGCCTGGTAGCTGGATTTCTGTTGGATACATGGGAGAAATTTCCATTCTAGTGCCAACATTGAATTTGGCACAGGATTTGCATCATTTATAGAAATTGCTATGCTTGGCTGTACTTGTGTTCATATAATCCTAATTGCATGCTTTATTATGAAGTTGTTGACAGTTATTAGGTTCTTATTCAATTCTGATACTCCTGGAAATGTAGAAATGTGTTTTATTGCTGACTAAGACCTCTTGTTCTTATGCGGCATGACGAAACTTCATTTACCTTGTTTATTCATTTCTGTGCTTCTGTACACTACTGTACCACATTGTCAGCTGAAATCTGTAGCTTCCACAAGTAAATGTGGTCCTTAGATTGCCTTGCTTTTTTAATACTGTTGCTTTTATCCCTCATGGGATGAAAGTCTCTTACAGGCTGAGAATGTAAAACCTTGTTCAGGTTCTTTTATGATATTCTTCTGGAAACATTGACGGTCAGGTTGGACAGGGCTCTGAGCAATTCGATGTAGTTAAAGATATCCCTCCTCACTGCAAGGGGTTGAACTAGGTGATTTTTCAAAGTTAGGTGACAAACAGAAGGTAAGTCTTATGAAACATGGCAATGAAGGTGGCACTTAGCCTCTAGTATGTGTCTGTTTTCTGGGGGTTGGGTTGCAAAGCTCATAAAGTGCCGTGTCAGTGGAAAGCCCAGATGTTGTTGTAGTTATGAGGTGATGTATCTCTTATTGCATTTCCTCTTCTTATGTTTCCTGTTAGGAAGAAGGGGATGTTAGCTCGAATGGGTAAGACTGGTGACAGACTGGTCAGTGGCTGTAGACATTTGGTTTTTTACAAAATAAAAACAAAAACACCCCATACATCTCTGGTGCTTTTTGCTCAGTGTGGATTTTAGTTTTGAAAGGAGGAAGGGTTAATAAAAATTGAAAGTTGTGTGTGTGTTTGTGTGGTGGTTTTTTTTTGTTTGTTTGTTTTGTTTTGTTTTGTTGTTTTTTTTCTGGAACAGATCTCTTCCTCTGCATGTTTCTACATGCGGAGGAGTTAAGGTTGGACAGGAAATAATTTCTTGTAGGAGTAATAAACTGGGAGGAAGTTATGAGGAAAGCAGCACCTGGGGAAAACACAACTGTCAGTATGTGGAAGGTGGAGGAAGGTCTCACAGGTGCATTTCTAACATCAGGCACAGTGGAGATGGTGGGTGGCATATGGGTCCTGGCAGAGAATGGAGAGTATGTGCCAATATCAAGTACAAACATGTTCTGCAACTTCTGTTACCTAAGTTATGTCAAACAATTCTTCCCTTGGCTCGGTAATTAAATCTTAATGGGGTTGAAATCAATGGCACAGTTTGCACTGACCTATCTGATGCAATTGTTTTGTCTTAGGTACATGTTTAGGCTTTCCTGTTCTGCCGGTAAGTGATAGCATGAAAAGCTCGTGATCTGCTTAGGTAACCTACCACAGGAGAAATTCTGGTGGTGTTTCATAAAGAAAGCAAACTTCTCTATTTCCACCGAGTTCTTTATAAAAGGCTATGAGAATTTTTTTTTCTCTTGTTTCTTTTAATACATCCTGATCAATAAGCTCTGGAGGGATTATCTTTTAGTCCTCTGTTTGTTTAGGTTTTGGTTTTTATTAAATGTATGGTAGTGACAAGTGGTTCTTAGTCTGAGGAGGTCCCTGAGCTTAACCAAACACAGAAGGACTTTTAGTTTTTGTTATGTATCTCATGTGAATTCTAATTGGTTTATTTTTTTCCTATCAAATATTTGATTTACAAGATCACAGTTTATTCAAGGTGCTGAATTAAAAGCTTACTTTATACAAGAGCCACAGATGTTCTGAGAGATTTTTGTTTCTGTAGCTGTTACCAGTTTGTGGCCCAAACTGTGACTTTGCAGTTTCCTATTAAACAACATCACCTGAACTTGAAGGATTTTTGCTGCTTGGAGTGATCTTTCTTCTGAAGGATGGCTGCTAAATTAAGAATTTGTGCATTGGAATAGACAAGGAATCAAGAAAAATTTCAAAACTCTACCACATCAGGAACTAGGAGGAGTGTTTGCCATAAAAATTACTGGCAAAGTGGTTTCTACTGCAAGCATGAAAGCTTTGTAGATGCTTTTCTTTTAATGTAATGCTTTTTTTTTTTTAATGATTACAGATATCTTGGTTAATTCTGGTGATTTCTAAAGTAATGTTTACCCACACATTGTTTTGCTTTAGTATTTCCTGGAGATTTGGAAATATTAATTTTGGAATACCTTGAAGTCCTGCTAGTGACAGGAAATGATGAAATAGATACTTTCAGTTAGAAATAATTATTGTCCTTCCATAAGGACATATTGCTTTTTGGTTTTGGTGCCTTTTGGAGAAGGAACACTTGCAGTTTTTATGATACTGTGTCCCTTGTTTTTGTTTTCCAGAGTATGACAAACTGGGCTTTCTCCTGAATCTGGACTCAAAATTGTAAGTAGAACAGCAGGACTCCTCTTTCTTTCTGTAGTTACAGATTTTTGTTGTAAACAACTTTTATGTCACCTAAGCAGTTGGCTCACTGGATTATACACTGCTCCCTGAGACAGCCAAGTCCTGCAGCAGCACTGCAATTACAGCTTCTCTCCTTATGCCAGGCTTTGCTGGCCAGCTTGGAACGTGGTACACTGTCATTAATTCCTTAATGACCGATCAAGAGGCTATAAATGTCGAGCTGTAGCCGTACCTATCCATCTGCTCTAGATATGTTACTGTTAATCTTCCAAATGAGGTAAAATGTATTAAACATTTGAAAGCAGGAGGTGTGTCAATCTACAATTTACTGCCAGAGTTAGAAGTTTATATTTCCTTTCCACTTGTTTCTTTAAAAATGTTACGACTATTTCTGTTTGTAAACTGGAGCGGAAAGAGTTTCAACACAAGGCAGCGACCATTTGCTACGGCAGAACAGCAACAAAGTGCTGAAGTATGATACTTGTCATGGTTTTTGCCTGAATCGGTCAAATTGAGATGGAACTTCTTAACACTAGGGGTCACTAGCGACTCTGAGGTCAACGGCCTTGCAGAAATGTTGATATTGGATGCAAAGAACCTACTAAAAACCTTCTGCCTCTACTACTTAAAAAGGCACTGAAGCAATCTAGTGGCTTTGAATGACTAGAGGATGCATCCTCTGTTCCATGTATCATGTTAATATTAAAAATATTCATAATGTTTAGAAGGTTTCGTTGTACCTTCGTGAAGGTGCAACAGTCAAGTTTTGAGTTTAGTCTTGCTGAGCAGCTTGGGAGCTTCTATGATGAAGTAAAAGCCTCATAAGTGTGTTGAGAAATGCTGTTTGCAGGGAATAAAGCCTCTCATCTGTGAGATCCTGCATCTCGATCAGTCTGCAGGAAGGGTGGCATTTACTGCATCGATAGCTGGTCAAGGTTTCTTTCTGTTCTTACTTAATATAGTGTTCTGTACGGTTTTTGTTGCATGCTGTCTGGAACCCATGCTGGTTGCACAGTTGCCCAATCTCTTTGTTGAATTGGGACATCCTTGTGATCTAGAGACAGCAGCGTATGTAGCCTTGAAACACTGGGTTGAGGTGAATTGATCTTCAATTCATACATGTAGAAGTCAAAGCAAAGACATTAGTCCAAAACTGTGAAGTGGATAAGTAGCCTTTGAATTAATGTCTTTGTGCTAGTAAGGGGAAAAATTTTAAGTAGTCTGATTTGTTTTTTTTTTCCAGACTACTTTGTGTATTTTGTAATGTCTGATTTATTGGACACACCCATTGACTATCCACACACTTTTCACATACCAGCTTTGGATAGCAGCCTCTGCTGTGCCCAAACCACTGCTTTGGTCTTGCTCTTCCTAGTCTTCTTTCTGTGTTCACTGTCCTTCTCTGTGTTGCTTTGAGCAAGTCCCATTGAGTCTTTGTTCTCCTCAAGCTTCTGTTACATTTTTTTTTTTCCCCCCTATTTTCTGATTTACCTACTTCAGTTAAAGCTCTCTGAGACATGGCCTGCTCCTTCTTATACTTTAGCATGAGGCTAAGTGAAGTTTTTACCTGGAGAGCTTCCAAACTCCTAGATTTTTTTATTAAAACCTTCCTGTGATAAAAACTCCATTATTTTTATTAAAGAAAGATTTTGTTGACTACTTTAAAAAAAAAAAAGATAGCTTTTGGAAAGGCTTGTAGTAAAACCAGCATAATTAAAACAAATACTGTGGGGTTGAGGAGCAAAGAGAGCAAGTACTCTACATAGGTGAAATCACTTTTTTTTTTTTTTTTTAAACTGTAATTGTCCTTTGTCAGTTTTAGGTTCAGGTTTTTTCTTTTTGTTGTTAGCATTTGTCTATTGTGTCTTCTGTGGAAGTGCAGCTGGGCCTGCTTTGAGAATGCACTTGATGACCTGTAGGGTTCCTTTCCAGCCTGAATTATTCTAGTAGTATTATTATTTTTCAATAACAAGGGAACCAGAAAAAAAGCTGAAAAGACCATAAAACATATTAAATAAATCTTGAAAGAAAAATGGTGACAGCCTGGAGGAATTTTCTGCTGTTACACAAGTTCACCATGTGTGGTCAGAGTACCAAATATCTTTTCTAAGTACACACTGAATTCAGTGGAACTTAGCGGTTAAAAATGCTTTCTGTGACTCTAGTCAAGATTGTACCATCATAGAAGCACTTTCTGGTAAAAAAAAATTGCTTAGAGCTGAAAGGGGTAATATGTTCTGCTCTGATGACTTTATTGGCAGAAATAATTTAATTACATCTGTTGTGATATAATCATTCTGGTGGAATTTTGCCATAGATCATAACTTTATAGGATTCACTTAATTGACAGCATGTGAGAGTCTTGTGTGACTTAAAGCACTTGGGGCCACAATAAGTTTTCTCTCTTTTTTTTTTTTTTTCCTTAATCTTTCATTTGTTCAAAAAATGCGTTCCTGGCTCTGTTAGTTGATGGTATTTGGACTAATGGCCTGGAGGACTCACATTTTCTGCTAAGGTAGAGCTACGTTAAAACTTAAGTGCTCTGACTTGCATTTTAAATGACATGATACAGAGGAAAGTGTTTAACATTAATAAATAGCAATGTGTTGGTTCCTTTGCATCTTTAATTTTTTAATGTGTTACTACTTCAGTGTCCTCTACCCTGGAGGTGTCCAGGGCATGTTATACAGGTATAACAGGTTCTGTTGTGGTTACAGCAATATAATATTCTGTTCACTCGTTCTCTTTCAGTTCATGGAAACTGTAATGAAACCAGATTTGTCCACTTTGGAAAGAAAATATATCAGAAGTACCTGAGAAGTATTTTCTCTGGGAACTGTGTGTCTGATATATGCCTTATTATAGCATTAGTGGGGCTGGTATGGCCAGGAATCTCACGTGGAAGAGGATGGCCAGTTTTAAAGATACTGTACAGATGCTTCATGGTAAATGACCAATTCTGACCAGAGGTCTTGTTGTTCTGAGCTTGTTACAAAGGAGAATATCAAGAAAGAAGATGCTTTCTTTCTGCTGCCTGTGCTTGAGGTAACTCTTCTTTGGAAGGAAGGTCTTTTAGCTTTTGAAAAGCAGGATGGTATCCAGGTGGGGATTGTTAATGGCATGTAGGATGAATGGAAAGCTGAGGACATCTGTAGGCAACATTGTTTATGATTTAGTTGTTTCCTTAGTCAAAACAAGACCTAAGTTTCCGCAGGAACAGATCAGTGAAAAAGATCTGTTAGAAGAGGAGTTTATCTTTTAGTTGTGTTTGTACCAACCATCACATCGCTATCGAGATTCGAATAGCAAAACAAAATATGCACACAGTACAGAAACAGGCCATTTGCATCAGTTTCTCCCAAGTAAAGAGGTTTCCCGAGCAGCAGAGCCACGTGCTGTTTTAAAGCCTTTAAGAATAAAATACAGCAGTTACAGGTTGTGTAGAGAAAAGTATTTATACAAAAAAATAATACAATTTACAGGTCTTAATTCTTGGAGGAGCCAGTAGTTTCTGAACAACTTGAGGCCATCAATCACAGTAGTGACTCAGACGATGGATTACCAGGTGCCACCAAATGCCAAGATTTGCAGTCGCTTTCTAATATCTGTGCTTGGCAGGAGATAATATTTATATTGTAGTAGTTCTTTGAGGCTGGCCAGGTCTTGGAAACACGAGTCTCATTCAGTACAAATTCTGAATTGGTCTCTGCACAGAATTTATGTTTACATTGAATTATATGAGATTTCTGTAGGAGAATCAGCACATGATCATGTGGTTAATTACAGACTGTATCTTAATGCATATTTAGCGGGCCCAGCTAAAGCTTGCATGGTCATTCTTCATTCTGTTGCTTCCTGTTCTGTGAATGATTGCTTTAGTCACTTGACCAATTACTTTGAGTATGCCTTGACTTGTTGTGTGTGGAGATCCACTTGTCCTGCACATGGGAAAGGTTCCTTTTTTGTAATAACCCATGTGATATTGGACTTTTCCCTTGCACTGTTGCACTCATGTGTCTATACCAGCTTTCCTCACACTAGTGGCATGCCATATACTCAGTGAGATGGAAGCTAGTGACTGCTAGTTCTGTCCTTGTTTCAAACTCATGCTTCAAAAGGTATGTTCAAAGGTACTTCAGCAGTTAGATTGGCGATTTGATGCTTCTGAAGAATAGCCAGAAAAAGCTCCCCTTGCATCAGTGGATCTTTTCACCTGCTGCCACAGTCAGCATAAAACCTTGGATGTTAAAATCTCAGGTGGTGAATGATGGAAGAAGCATTCCAGAGTTTGACTTTGACTGGGGAAGAACCACTCTCTCAAAGTCTTGCAAATGTTAGAGGATGTGCTTGAGCTCACTGGAATCATTCTGCACTTAAGGAAAGAGTAATGGTTATTGCAATGTGTTAACTTGAAAGTTAATTGGGTTTTTTTTTTAGAAGCAGAAACAGGCAAAGAAAAAATTTGTTATCCCTCTCGATTATCAAAATTACTATGAGATCAGTATGATTTGCCACAATAACATGCATTAACTTAATACATTGTAATTATACAATATATGATATATATTTTCCATTGTGTATTTTGGGAATTTTTAGGCAGTACATAAGTAAAAGGAGGAGTATTTTTTCTAGTGGGGTCTGTGCTTCGCTAGACATCTTGTGATATGGTGTATTTACCTGTTTTTCCAATTTGTTCAGAAAGGTGCGACGGATATTTTTGAATTTTCACGGTGCTTTCAAACTTCACTTTAAAAAGAAACAAAATTGATTCTTTGGAGGAGAGGAAAAAAAAAAAAGCCAGAAATAACAACCTTCACCCTGTAAACTCAAACGAAACTTGATCTAGACTTTGAAAAGACCATAAAAATGGAGGGGGTTTGGGCTAGGGAAACGCGCAGATTGGGTTACTTCTGTTTGTTGAAATTTCTTTACTTCAGAGCTTCAATAATGAAGAACTGAAACAGAGCCCATTCCCTTCA